TTATTTTAATCACACGACGAAGCCTAAATGCACACTTTCTGTTTTTCTTTACGAACCCTGAATGCAACAACTGAACTGCATTGTTCATATGTTTTTTTCAGGGGAACTGTGGACAACAGCGCGACCAGCAACCGCTCGTGCAACAAGTTTTGAGTAAAAGTTGCCCACAAACTTACCGACCGGTCTTCTCAAGTCCGTTCGGCATCAAGCAGCCGGCAGCACGAGGACAAGTTCAACGCGCCGCTTCTCAAGTCTCGCGCAGAGACAGTTGACGCAGCAGCTCGTGCAGCAGAGAAACCGCTCTCCTCCGTGCTGCCTTCAGGTGCTCCTCGGAATAAAAACAACAACACGAGACGTCAGAAGTTTTTTTGCTTGTCTCCTGGATGGCTGATACAATCCTTTTCTAACCTCGAGGAAGAGGTTTGCCTTTTAAATATGTGTAATAAAATATAGGCGTAAATAGGAAACAACAGGGCTTCAACAGCAGTGTTCACATCTCTATTCTAGAGACCCGCTTAAAAAAATCAGCTTGACGTCATAATGATCTCAAAATGTATATGAAGGGATTTCCCAGTGCTATGACAGCCTGCACAGAAAAATGGTCAATTTTAAAGAAAATTATAAGACTCGATCTGGCTTTTTTTCTGATGACATACTTGCTGAAAACGGGAATTTAAGATTATATGCAATTTCATTAGCTAGTGTCTTTATTGAGTCATTTTTATGCAGAGTTCAAATATGACCACAAATCAATATTTTCACTCATTTTCCCCTGCAGCCTGTGCTTTTTTCAACTCATTTTTGCTAGCACATGTCTTTTTTTTTCTTTTTGGTTGCTATTTTGTTTTGATTTGTTAAAAAAAAGAAAAAAAAATTAAAATTTTTAATGCCTCTTTTGTGACTGTCTATTGTTGTCGTTGTTACTGTTGTCATCATTCTTTGTTAAGAAATCAGGTCTTGCTTGTAAATGGGTCCCCGGGGCTCAATGGGACAAACCTGTCTAAATAAAGGATGAATGAATGAATATTTTTGCTCAGGTTTGCACATTTTAGAATAAATCATTTTAATTTGTTGGCCATAATTTATCTGCCAATTGGAAAACTAGTAAAAATTGCAATTCTGCCAAAAAATAGTGTGACGGCTGAGTGCTGAAAGATTTGTCTGAAGCTTGCTGAAGAAACTGAAGCTGTTAAAACATAAACAGAACTGTTTTTGAACCCATCCAGAGGACCAGATTTAACTTGTTTAGATGTTTCTATCTGGATTATTGAGCATGCATCAGGATATAATTGGCTAATTCTAAAAGAAACTATAGTTAAAAGCTCAAAGTAACAAAATACTAGCTAAAAGCTAAAAATAGCACAAGGCTAGCTAAAAGCTAAGTGTAGCAAAATTGTAAATCAAAGCTAAAAGTAGCAAAATGCTACCTTAAAGCAGCAGAAGCTTAGCTAAAAGGTAACAACAGCAAACTAAAGGCTAAGAGCTAAAAGTAACAGAATGGTTACTGAGTAGCTCAAGAAGACATAGAGTGCTGAAACAATTATCAGAGACCTGTGTTTTTGAAGAAATTGAAAAGATGATGTACTTCTATGAAAAAAAAAATGTGGAAATAAAGTTAAATATTTTGAAAAACGTGAAAGTTACACAAATCAAAAGTCACAGAATGAGCTGAACGTTTGAATGCATGAACGATAAAACACCCCAAGGCTTGCAAAAGCAGACTGTAAAAAGTACAGTATATGGAAAAATAAAAATCAGGAATTCACATATTTATTCGTAGCTCACTAATCACTCAGTATAAAATTAGGATCTATGTTTATTCTGTGTATAGAAATGTGATCATTATTTGTATATGGTGCAGAAAGAGTCATTGTTAAGTACTTAAAGTTTTATTCACACACCAATAATGCTCTCAGCATATGTCACAATGTTTTGAGCTTGATACAAATATATCCCACAGCACCTAAAGGCAACATTGGCTTCTATCTGGGTAGCCAAATGAGCTGAGGACAGAACAATAAAACCTGCACCTCTAAAGAAGCCTGCTGTGTGTGAGAGAGTGTGTGTGAGTGTGTGTCACTACATAGGAATGTCTGGTAACCACTCTCTCCATAGAGACATTCATTTACTTTATAGTCTTTATGAGGACTCATGCAGGTCTTGTACATTGTTGCCTATGGCGTCATTGATTCTGAACCATACAATGAGTCCAAACAGCAAAATATCTATTAGAGTCACCTAAAGGGTTCAGCTCATCCTCCATTTATGGCTCCTAGCACAAACAAATCAGCAGGTTTTAGCCTCAATCTGTCCTTTATGGGTTTCCTTATATGTGTCAAAGGTGGTTTTCCAAGCAAGTTGTTTCATTGCTCCGTGTGCAAGATTTCTCTTCTTGTATTTCAGCTTTGGAAAAAAGGGGACTGTTTTCCAATTAGCTCCCCTGATGGGAAGTCTGATGCCATCAGACAGGAATGTGCAACCCTTCCATTCCCCTAACTCCCCTCCACTAAAGATTTGCATGCAAATCTTTGGGATTTCCCTCCTCGGTGATGGAAAAATGGAGGATTGGTGGATTTTCTTGCACAATCTAGCAATTTTTTTTACATTGTTCATTACTATGTGCTTACAGAAATATCACATAACTCCCAAAGCCATAATAGGTCCCTGTCTGGCTCATCTAGTTTACCCGTATTTATGAGAATCCATCAAACCTAATACTTTTGCAACTCCTCCTGTCACATTTAGAGATGCTGTGAGGGATAAACTGCAACATGCATGAGCAAGGTGTGCAAATACAGCACAGAGCTCTCAGAATAAAAGAAGGAAATGCCCTGCTTTCACTCCAGAAGGACAATTAAGAAAGTAGAATGGGATAGCACACAAACTGCTGAAATCAGATATAGTTCATGTGTGAATACACCCACTGAGAGAGGCAGGCTTATCTCAAAAGTAAATAACTGAATGTGTGCAAAAAGTGAATGAACCAGGGGACACTGACAGGCAAATACAGGCATGTATTTTATATTTTATGGACATTGCATTTTGTTTGACTCTTGCACAGAGAACTTTAACCTTGTAAAAGTTGACTTTCTTTACAAGTGTAATTAAGTTAGAATATTTAACTAGAAAGCGTCAGGGTTTTAATTTTAACCTTGCAGCAACAGAATGAAGCAACAACTCATAGATGATGTGAGATTGTGTGTTTACTTCCATAGATACTGAAACATTCCCTCTGTGAGATGAAAACCCTGCTGTGGAAGCAGACACAGCTACTGACGGGACGTCTCTGCCCTCTACAGTCAGAAAAAGTTCATCATACATGAATACAGACATTGTAATTACCGTAAAAAAGTTTAAATTGTTACTAATTTTTTTAAAGTTATTGTTAAATTTTAAAACAATCAGGAAATAACAGCTGAAAGTTCTCATCCAAATTTAATTTCATATTCAATTCAGTTTATTATTTATTATCATTTAGCACCAAGTCACAACAGAAATTGTCTCAAGACACTGTACACAAACATTCACATACACAAAAAAAATGAAGCAATGTGTTCAACATAATGGTACTTCCTCCAGTTATTTAACAGTCAACAATGGTGTACCACAAGGCTCAGTCTTAGGACCCACCCTCTTTACAATCTACATACGTAATGTAGGTAAAAACATCCCTGATGCATCCATTTCTATGCTGATGACACAGTTGTTTATTGTCGAGCTAAAACAGTTGAAAGGGCTTTCCAGTTTTTGAAATCTGCATTTGACATCATCCAGACAGATTTGTTCCACCTCAAACTTGTCCTAAATGCCGACAAAACCAAAGGGATGCTTTTTTCAAATAGGAAGTTGGTCCCAGCAGTTCTTCCTCTGATTTCATCCTCAAATGGTGTCCCGATTGAGTTTCTTGATTCCTATAAATATTTGGGTATCTTGGTCGACTCGCATCTCTCTTTTAAGCTCCATGTGGAAAACTTGGTAAAAAAAACTGAAAGTTAAACTGGGTTTCTTTTTCAGAAACAGATCCTATCTAACTCTGAATGCTAAGAAACACCTTGTATCTGTGACCTTCCTTCCCTCCATTGATTACGTTGACATTATTTTCATGAACGCTCCTACAAGAACCCTGCAGATGTTGGATGCTGTCTATCATGGTGCACTAAGATTCATAACTGGCTGTGATTATCTACCCACCACTGAATGAATGAAAAAAAGAAAGCCCATTAAGGAAGCCAATAAATTGTGTTGAATCTTCACTTCGTCGCAGTGTCCCATCTATATTCCTATGGCTTTCCATAAACTTTCTCAAATGTTTTATTTATTTCAGCTATGCTATATATTTTTAATGGCTTCATGTTTAAACTTAACAAGCAAGAGTGCCATGAGTCCTCTAGCCTCACCAACCTCCAATGCAAAACTCAATGCGGGGGCAAGTTGTTTTATATGTGCTATATAAATACATTTGGTTGTACAATGTTGTATTTAATTGGAATTATTACTGAATTCAGTTCAATTTATTTATTTTTACAGTTCCAAGTCCCAACAACTATCTCGGGTAAATGCTAACAAGTGAAATTCAAACCAAAATTCGTGCAACACATTTTAGTCCAGCTCGTTTCAGTCCCCGGCCAGCAGGGGGCAGCAGGGCGCTGTTGTAGAGTCCAGTCTGCCTAATTCCGATAAAAGAAGAAGAAATCACAATCAGCCATCGTAAACAACAACAAGGAAGTGGTTTATTTCGATTCACGCTTTACGCTAATTCTGTCAGGGATAAATCCGTATCTACGACGCATATAAATCAATATTATGATGTAACTGTCCCCCCCCCCCCACAAGTGACAGTGAGTATATATATCCTCATTAGCTGTTTGCTAACTGCAAAGCTAATCGTAGCGCTAAAAACATCCTAGCATACGCGACAATAAAATAAATTATTGTAATCCTGGTTATATTTATTGAGTAATGCGTTGTCGTTTATTTAATTGCCATCCTAAAGTTTTGCGATGGAGGGTTCGAAGTCGTCGAGCACAACGATGCAGGTGAGCTTCGTGTGTCAGCGGTGCTCTCAGCCGCTCAAACTGGACACATCGTTCAACGTGCTGGACCGAGTCACCATCCAGGAGCTCATCGGTGGGTATGAGTTCAGCTGTGCTCTTCTGCTGGTGTGTGGTTTTTAAATGTCCTGTTGCTCTGGGTGTAGTGACTGTGTGACCTCTTCTCCTCAGCCCCGCTGGTCACCGTGACCCCCAACAAGCAGGCTGACCGCAGCCGAGGGGGGACACAACCAGAGGTGGGTTCTGTGGTTCTACAATCTGAAGTCGTCTTTAACTAGGAACGACTGTAACTTTTTTTTATTATTATTACCATGTGGGTTATGGGCTTCAGTATTTTGCTTCCTAGGACATTCTTGTAATCTTTATTGCCTTCTCTGAAACCCAAAGGTGGGTGATAATACTTTTTTTAAATTATTTGTCTGTTAGCAAAATATTCCATGAACCACTTGACAAATTGTAATGAAACTAGCAGAAAGTAATATTGGCAGATGTATATCTACAGCTGATTAGGTCTCAGAATCAACCAGGTTCAAGATGGTTGGCACAGCTTACTGAACTTTAAAACCACATAGTAGGCTGTAACTTAGTCAGTTTTTACAGATATCGACCTAATTTTTTGGTGAGGTAGTAGCTGAGACTTACACCCCCCCCTCCCTCCCTCCACACATACTCTGAGGGCTGACCGATTGTGCAAGATCATTGCCATTAACGATCTGGAGTCCTGTTTGTTTGTCCGTTAGCAAAATATTTTATGAACCACTAGACATATTCTATTGAAATATTCATTAAATAATTATTAGATGACCTAAAACAGATTTACTTTTGTAGTCATCTCAACTCATCTCTCTCAACTTGAAGATTATTATGATTGAACTATCCATCCATCCATTATCTTTACCCGTTTATTCCATTTTGGGTCACGGGGGTCACTGGTGCCCATGTCCAGCAATCACTGTGCGAGGGGTGGGGTACACCCTGGACGGGTCGCAAGTCCATCACAGGGCCACATAGAGACAAACGAGACAAACAACCATTCACTCTCTCACTCACACCTAGGGACAATTTAGAGTTACCAATCAGCCTAACATGCATGTTTTTTTGGACTGTGGGAGGAAACCGGAGTACCCGGAGAAAACCCACGCATGCACGGAGAGAACATGCAAACTCCACCCAGAAAGGCCCCTGGACCGGGGTTTGAACCAAGGACCTGCTCGCTGAGAGGCAGCACCTCTACCAGTTGTGCCACCGTGCTGCCCATGATTGAACTAATTGTTTGAAAAAAGGGGCAGATTTAATAAGATTTTTTTCTTCTTTCTGCTGCCTTTCATTTTAAATCTCTGTATTTTTTTTATATAGTTTATGAATTTTTTTTTTTTTTTTTTTTTAATGAATAAACTTTATACCATACCAACTCTAGATGTCCATCACAGCCAAGTGAACTTAGGAAACACAAAAATGACAATAATTTAGTCATTTTTACAGATATTGATTTAAAATTAGGTGTGGAAGTAGCTGAGAGTCATTCACAAGCTATACTCTGAGCACTTAACACATCTCAAGGTTTTGCATTAGATTACATTGTTTTCAAGATTGAACCAAAACAGCTACAGTGTTATAAACACAAGATGGTCGTAGCATCAAACTCTTCTTTGGAAAGCAGCAACCTGTGTGCCTTCCTCCACGGAATGCTAGCTCTTTAATTTAAAGTCTACACTTTTTAGACTTTGTGAAAGTGTTTCAACAGTTTTCTTTAAACTTTGCTGCTTTTTCACTCATTTTCTTTGTCTAGTCCTTGTGCCTGACCATGACAGTAAATAAGTGAAGGACGAAGGCGTCAAGACTAAAATCCTTTAATGTGTCAAATTGTGTTTTCATTTATTTCAAAAAAGGAAACAAGTTGTGCTTATATGACTAGCTGCTACTAAAGAGCAAACATAAAATGTTCAAGTTGTTTGTGTTGGCGCAACACTAGTTCGTTTCTTGAGTTTTGAGTCAGAATTCGGTGGCACAACAAACAGCAAATCTTCTGCAAATGAACAAGTACTGGTCTGAGCATGTGACAATACAAACTATTGATCAAGGCCATTTAAAAAAAAAAAACATAACAAATGTTGACTCTTTGGAATACTCAGCTAAATGCACTAAGAGTAGTATTACAATATCATTTTAAACTAACATTACTCATCAATAAATATGGTGATCACTTTTTAGTTTTGGGAGCTGGCTGCTTTACTGCCATATTTATGTGTTTCTAAATAAGTTGGCAGAAGAGTAAATACATATTCACTACCCTAAAATGAGTGCATCCTTTAGATTTGACCTCCAGATTTCCTCTTTTATTTCCTCCAGGAGACATTTGTGGAAAATAAGCAAGATGGAGTGTCCAGAAAATACATCCCCCCTGCACGGTGAGCTGAAAAGATTCATTTTCAAATCAGCACTGATTACAGTTCATGTTCATTTAGATTCAATGCCTTTACTAATTCTTAGGGATGCACAATATATATATATATATATATATATATATATATATATATATAT